GCTCCAGCCACCCCGCGACCCTGATAAGGATAAGCTGAAGAGAATGGATGGATGGACTCTTAGTGCAATCAGTCTGACAGTTGGAGTGTTTGGAGCTTGCTGATTTGATCAAATGGAAATAACAAAGTAGTGACTGATACCAACGTAGCGCCAATAATAATATTACTCTGTTTATGTGGCCAGTATTAAAAAATCTCACTTTTTAAGTTGGAAAATAAAACCAAACCAAACAACATGTATCCCACCTGTATTCGGCTCTCTGTCAGCTGCAGGCGAGAGGCTAACTGGTCTCTGGTGCTAATATCTGGATAATGAGTTTGCTGGAAAACCTTCTCGAGCTCCTGCACCTGGAATGGTGTAAAAGTGACCCTGGTTTGCCTCTTTCTTCTTTGACCTGTGAGCAGACAGAAACATATGATAGTAAAGAAGTGGTTCAATTTCAAACTGATTCATTCTTGAATCATCCTTTTAATTGATTTTTCTACTCATATATAAACATATTACGCACTCTTGCAGTCTCCTGCAGCTTTTGGAGCCTCTTCATGTAGTCGAATATTCTGAGTTTCTATTGACAGAGTGAAAATTTCAACATCAAAAGGAGAACACACACGTTCTGACAATATTTGAACCAGTATTTTTTACAGTAAGGCTAAAAAACATACCTGTACATGGATGCTGGTTATATACTTGGCTGTTTTCTCTGATGACAGACCAGTTCCGATGTACTTCATTCTCTTTTCTGACACATGAGGGCCTTTTCAGAATTTCTTCAATTGAATGCAGTATTTTATTCCTCGGCTGAGATTCCATTCCTTTATCTATTTGGGATAACTCTTTTTTTGTGTCTCCTCTCTTCCATATTTCCATCATTTTATCGCCAACCGTCAGCTCATCTGTCATTATATGTTCCTTTTATAGTCAGGTCTTGGTCACCAGTTTAAAAGATACAAAATATTCCTTGTGCTCTGTCAGGCTCTTTCAGTAAAAACAAAATGAATAGAAATAGAATAGAAATCCCTTGATGTCTGACTTCTTCTGTCTGGGATCTTTGTTACACTCAATGCTTTACAAGATGAGAACACATGAGTGTCCTCCCACTTCTGTGAGCAAGTGTTTGACCTGCGTCACATGATCATAAAGAGGAGGAGCTACTGCATTATGCCACAGCATACTTTTGAAACATTCAGCATCCAGCATTCAAAGTTTTAATCTTTCATATTTAAGCTATTAATTTAACGTTTGTGCTCAATTAATTCTCCAGATAATGGCATCTGGTTGTTATCACGATGTTAGCACAATGTTAGCACGATGTTAGCACGATAGAACTGAGTAGTTCAGTTTGCTCTGAGTCTTTATTTCCTTCAGCAGAATCAGCAGGACACCAGATTCCTGTTTTGTAGGTAGATTTGAACACTAAATCTGCAGCTTGATTATCACCTTGATAAAATTTCACCATAAACAAATTTAAAATCATTGCTTCTCTTTCTTATCGCCCGATTTATTGCACAGGTAATCTTTATCACCTTGGCCTCTGTATGCACTCTGACACTTTAGTTCAACTCAAAAAAGAAAGCACTGAGCTGCAGAGTGTAGACATGGTCTGTCTCCATCTAGTGGTACCGACCTCTCAGTGAACCTGCTTGTAATTCTCTGAATATAATAATGAATTTAAGGGTCTTAATGTGTATTGTATCAGAGCTGAAGTTCAAGTTTATTTAACAACATTTATGACTGCTAAGTTCGTCTTGTAGGAGGGATTTCAGCTACTTATTATTTATGTATAAAATACGATCAAAATAGAAGCAGCGCAGACTGGGGTACTGGAAACACCTGTTTCTAGTTACAGTAGATAGATTACAGTCAATAAACCGTTATAATAATTCACAGAAATAAAAACGGATCTTCAAAGACACGAACACAATACATCATATCAAAGAGAAGCTAATTAATTATAGCAAGCTCACACTTAATCGAAGATATGGTGAGAAAACTATAAGGAGTAACAACATGCGCTTTCTTACCGGCAAACTCTGGTAAGTTCAAGCAAAACCGCATGGCTCGTAAAACTATGAAGGTCACAGGATGCAATCAGACACAAGATAAGAGCCAAAACATTTAGACGGAGGCCGTAAAAGATTACAGTCAACATTGTTATGTCTCGTTTGCACCTCCCAGCATGTTACAAGAATA